TGACAACTTTTGTGCTACTGAAATGGAAAGGAGAGAAAAGATATGGTTTCCACACGTTCAGGCACAGGCAGGCATTGACCTAGTGTGTCCATAATTACTGTCCGTTGGGCAGACACCTGAGCTGCCCTGGCAGATAATACACTCCAGTTCTATTATCTTTATTATGGTGCCTTTGTGCTGTTGTGGGAAAAGAACAATACACACATCATCTTCTGTAATGCAGTAGCCTGTACTGCTGTAGCCTGCTCACAGATATTTCCATTTGCACAATCTCCAACTTAGAGACCAGGAGGAAAGAAATTGTATTATTCAGGTAACAACATATCATGTAGTACGACTATTTTCTCTTAAAATCCAAAAGACAGGAGGATGATTGCTTAGAAAGACCAAAAAGCCTCCATAAATCAAAAAGGAAAAAAAAGGCTATTGTTTAACTTAATAAGAGAGACAATAAGCATCAAAATGAAATTGTGAGGTGAGCAGGTGCTTTCTCCCTTACACATGTTTCTTTTCATAGTATATTTCTTCTCTTATAACTGAATTAGTCTTTTCACTATTCTTTGAAAATTCAGGAATTTTGAATGACACATAAAGTTATAATTGTAATATGTGAATAAAGGAATGCTGTCAGATAAAAGTGAAACTTAAAAAACAGAGAGACAACAAGCTCTAGCACATGAAAGAAAAACATTTCTTTCCTGGGAGACAGGCCACAGAAATAAATATATATCTAGCTGACATTTCTTTGTATCTCATTCAAACAGAATAGAACTAAAATTATCTCACATGCCTATAGGCTGCCCTGGTGTAAAGTGTAGATATATATAAGGCATTATTTCAATATGCATTTTCATTTGCTTCCTTTCTAAGATACAAAAGCAGCTCAATGCTGAGAAATCATTTGGTAAAATAAATCCTCTGAAAATAGAAGACATTTCCACTTAAATATTTTTCAGACACTTCATGATATAAGTGAAGTACTTTAATCCAGGTGCTTAGACTGACCTTGGAAAAAACATTACATGAGATGGCTAAAAGTAAAAATATCATTTGGAAAGAAAAGCTATACATGAATTTTCCTCTTAGAGTTTTCTGTGCTGGAGCAACAGTATCCATACTGAAGGAAAGTTATTTAGTACTAAACAAAATTACAATTTTATAGCAGAGGTAAAACCTATGATTTGTCCTTTATAAGTAACTTTAGGCCTTTCTTTGCAACCTGGTGGTAAGATGAGTACAAAAAAGATGGGTGATTTGTTAGAAACGGTCTAATTTGCTTAGTGACACATGCAGGAACAAGGTTTGCAAGATCAGATACAATTTAAAGAAACCGTGAGATTAATGGGCCTTGTAAATTCATAATTGAACAATATCCTACCCAACTTGGCACTCAGTGGAAAAAACAGCAATGATGATCCCTTTAAAAAGAAACATCTGGAAGCATGGCTGCTGCTGTTTTATTCCTCCAACCACTTTGGTGTTTATAACACAGCCTGATGATCAGATCATTTACTCAGGACATGAGAGGACTGTGTTCTCAGTTTTGAAACCCCACGCCTCCCACTTGCCTGGACTGTGCACTAACCACCAGGGTTAGTGCTTCGATCCCCCTGTTTAAGTTGTCTCACTGTGCACCAAAAAATGTAAGCCAGCCAGCCACAAGAGAGTACGACACTGTGGCCTAGAAATTAGAGATTCTTGGAGGGATTCAGGCTCTCAGGGTTATCTCCGTTCTTACCTCAGGAGATTTGACATGAAGCCTGGGAAGATGCTAAATGCACCCATCCTCCTTTTCTCTTCTATAATTTTAGAGAGAAATGGATGCCCTTTCTTTGCCAAAGACTCTGGAATGTGAATGTTTCTGCTCATCTTTTTCTACGTTTTAGAAATTGGTCAGAGTTCAGACTCATTTAAGACTTTTTTTTTACCTAGTTACTCTCCTGTCCAGCACGTAGATATTTTTTGTAACTCCTCCAAGGTGTCTATTTCCCATCTGTACTTCCTGTATAGAGACACTGGTTCTGGGCAGGTGAAGTCCTGCTCTGGAAGGAGCTTGGAAGTTATGTTACTGTGCCTATTCTCTTTGGATCTGTCCCAAAGTAATTTCTCTCAGTTTCAGGGAACTCCTGTCTTGTTCTTGCAAACCTAACTATCAGACATGTAGGTATAGCCAGAGCTCCAACAGGCTGCAAAATTTTCTGCCTCAGGCCAGCTACTTTGCCCATAGTCTCTATTTTTCATTGTCTGGAGTTACAGGTAAAATAGAATTAGACAAGGCGATATGGGGAAAGCTTTATTTCTTGTAACTTCCTTATGAAATCAAATTTGATCTTTCTCTGTAACCAGAAGGTTTTGAAGCACTCATTTGTATTTTGTTCAGCTTTTCTTTTGTGAACATTGCCTCTCTCTACTGTGTGAATGTGCAGCAGGGAATTTACTCCCACTGAACTAAATGATTAAAAACAAGACTTCAGTGAAAAATCCTCTGCTGGAAAATACAGTAGAACATCTACAGTGCTGTACAACTAATGAGTATTGGTTCCCTATGGTGCAGTTTGTGGGAATTGTGAGCTTCTGCAAGGTTTCTATAAAGCAAAACAGATGCCTGCTTGTTCAAGAATGCTCAGTTGTTGTATGACCTGTCCTCACTAGGGCTGAAAGAGAGAAAAAATACAGCTGAGTTTTATGAAGTTGTTAAAGCAACAATTTCATAACTTTTTACACACAATTGTTTTTTAAAATTATACCTTTTGCTTGTTCAGTCAAACACTATGATACTTTCTGTTTGAAGCATAATTGTATATAGTGAATATACCTGCCATCTGTGTGTACTCTGATACAACTGCCTCATATTAACCTTTTATTTAGTCACGTTAATTATAAAGGTGACATAGGTTATTAGTAGGATTATCCGCTTGGGTTGACTGTGGAGTTTTCCTTAAATGCTGAATATATAATATTGCCCTAAATTCCTTGACATTTGCAGCAAATAACTATCTTTCAATTTTAGTCAAGAAAATTTCTGCTGTCAGATTCAGCCATTGCCCTCATATTGAAAGCCTGCTTTATAATGTTACCATCTGTCCATTGTAATAAAAGATAGATCTGGCTTTCATACTCATCCTGCAATTTTTTGTCCATACAACAAACAGTTCTGACATACTGACTGATAGATTATTACCTCTCCCTTCTCTTAGACGCTACTTTGTTCCAGTAAAAAAAAACCAAAACAAACCAAGAAATACTTTAATCAAATTATGTATGTTGTGTTTCTGATCTATAATAGATTTCAAATAATCCAGTATGTTAATTCTATATGCAGAAAACTATTTTCTGAATTATTTTACTTATTGATCCTAAAACTGTAAATCTAGATCTGACAATAACATGGGTACTTATTATTTATCTGTTTTCCCGCTGTCATTAATTTTCACAAACTTCAAATTGCTGGAATCTTTCAAAGAATGCTTTACTTTATTTTTTTTTCTTCTTCACATCATTAGGAGGATTTTTCTGCTCGGAATCTCTTCCAAAGTCCTCTCATTTTAAGGGGAAAAGGCAGTTCCCAAATACTTCGTGTAACAAGGAAAATGAAAATTTCATGCATATCGGTGCCTTCCTCCTCACAGATCGTGTGTTACCTCAGATCATAGCATCAGGCAGAACCTTTGGTTTTGTCTTTTTGTCTCTGTGTGTGTGTGTGTGCCTCGAAATGGCATTGCTGCTGTACGCTTTCCATCCTCTTTTATATGAGATGTAAGTGGGATATCAAGAGGGATGATAAGTACAACATAAGATGGGTTGAGTTAACAAATGCTAATTTTATTTCACATTAAAAATATTGCTGTTAACTGAAAGATAATTCTGCAAAACCTGTCTTGTGTAAGCTGGTTTTACCTTCTCCTCTGCTCTCCTCGGGATATTTGTGTGTAATGCAAACAGGGCTTTATGAAGGGATTATTTAAAACACGTGGAGTTGTAATTTCACTTTTTCCATTGAAATTCTGGTGTAACACCAGGTTTGGTCAAACTGTCGGACCTTCTCTGTACTAGAAAGCTATCAGGTCTTTTTTTCTTTCTGTGTTTTGCTGGGTGTTTTCAATGTCAAGCTATCTGTGCTACCACAAATTCTTTTAAGCCCAGAGTCTTTGGAAGATGCTAGAAATTTTTCCAGTGTTATGGCTGATGGTAAGATCACGCTCACATTTTACCCCTAGCTAGATGATACCTTGTATGGACGACTTCCTCCTCGTAATGCAAGGGCTCTACAGCCCTTCCCGAGATTTTCTGTGGGGTGTTCTGCTGATCCAAGGCACTGCCCCAGTTGATGTGGTGAGGGCTGTGTAAGTGACATACCCTATGTAGGTAGATGGGCTATATACACATATACATATATATGCTGTGCAATATTCCACAGTTCTCCCTTGTAGTAAACATTTTCCCTAATCCCTTCTAGGATGATTAGGTAAAAACTACAGATATGTAGCTATAACACGTAGGCATGCTGAAGAGCTAGGGCAGGAATCTGAAGAGCAGGTACTCAGTACATATCATCTTGTTTCCAGCTTTTAAGGACACCAAGGTATTATCGATTTTGGGATATTCACATAAATCACATAAATCAGTCCCTTAAGTTATTCTCATGTTTCCTTTATGCTCTCATGTTTCCATATTACTGTCCCCCTGTATGTGTGAACACAGGAAACACTTAAGGTGAATCCCCATATGCATAAATTTTGCATAAAGATAAACTGGCACCGGGTACTTAAGTTTAGTAGCAACTTCAGGTTTACACAAAACTGTTGATTTGCAGTACAAGTAAGGATGAAAGAATCTCTTCTTTTGAAAACCATGTATGTTTCACAGATTCTTTTGGTAAAGTAGAGGATTCTTTTTTGAAAATTTGTTCTTGTACCACTACAAGGGGTCTTTCCACCTTCTATACAGCTGTTGTAATCCCTACAAAAGTATTTATAGGATAATACATTACTCAAACTTACAGCTTTCCAGCTGCATTATGCATGTTTGCACATCCATTGGAAAATTTTTGAGATCCATCGGACAGGACAGTATTAAAGTCAATCTGAAAGAACACAAAAAACAATATTAAAAATATACCACAAGAATGCCATAGAACTGCACAGGAAGAATGCATGAAAACACTGGAAGTCATTAGAAAAAGAAGAAAATATTTTTTTTTCATTAGAAAGCTCTCAAAAGGGATGTATATTAGCTGAACACATTTCACTTGCTCAACCTAGTATCACAATGTGGAAAAAAATTATTAAAGATTTTCAGAAAAACACGTTTTTCAGTAGGGTTGCCTAACTTTATGGGAAGTCTAAAGGAATGCAACAACAGTATGCTTTTTCATACTACAGCAGAATTATTGTACTGTTACAGTATTTCAAATCCTTGACATAAAATTTACCCAGATTTGCAAGAATTTCATAACAGATGTCAGCTGCAAATCATGGTGGCAAATTAATTTATGTGTTATTGTCCTAAAATAAGGTGCTTCAATTGTCAACACAAAGGTTTAAGTTAACGTTTTATGATATTGATGGTAGACTGAAATATGCTTGTAATTTTGAACTGCAGCTGTGTTTCACATTAGCCCTGATACTTCCTGTGAAATACTTTGCAACCTATAGGCAAAAGAGGTATTTTTATATTTTATATCAATACAATAACTTATCTTTAGAGTGATACTTCTCAGAGGAATGAGAAAGAAGAATCTAAGAGGTAAAGGCACATGTTTTTCCTCATTGGCCATGTTTAGGTATCCATTCATTCAGGGTCATGACTGCACCTTTCTTCTTGCTAGAAAATATCTTGAGTGAAAATTTTGCCCTATATTCATTTATCAGTTCAGTAGATAGAGTTTCTCTAAAAACCTAAGGGGCTTGAGTTCAATTCCTTACACATAAGGCTTTTCTAGAACGGCAGTGCTCTAATCCCCCTTTCCTAAACCCATTCCCTTGGTTTTGGCATTGGGGTTAAAGGGAAGTCAGCAGGAGGTGGCAAGCATGGCTATATATTTCTTTTACCCTACTATTTCCCTCTCCAAAGCTTCTTCATTCTTTGTTGCTACAACTTCTGTTTAGCCTGCCAGTGACAGAGCTGCGGGGGAGAGTCTGAGGAGGGAACTCAGATCCTGGCCCTATTCCCATGCTATTAAAAATGGTTCCAAATGCAAAATCTGACTAGTAGGCTAGTAACACGGCAGGTCATTTCAGAGAAGAGGCACCTGGACTTTACTTTGTGCTTCAGTAAATATTTTAGTATTTTATGTCAAGTATTCATTGGGTCAGGAACTGGAACCTTCTCATTATTTTCTTGTCTGAATTGTTCCAATGCAATTAGGGAAGGAGGACACATTAGGGAAAAAAGGAAAAAGCGAATCTAGAAATCTTAATTTTTTTTTCTTTTAATATCAGCACTTATTAGCAATTAACATGTGTCCCCTCATCAAAAGCTTAACTGACTCAAATTCAGATAACAACTCAACTAGATGTCAATTGTATGATTTGAAATCTGTTTCAGAAATTGTTATAGTTCTTAATTAAATCATGGCAACATAAACTTTCTGACTCCATAAGAAACACAGGAGCTATCTGGCATCTGCTTTCATCACAGTCAATGTTTGCTTTTATAGTTTAATATTATAATATTTCTCATGTTTGGTTCCCCCCCCCCACTTCATGCTACCATGAACTTGGTCTGAATTTTATTGAAGTTGCAATCCAGACTTGCTTCAGTTGAGTGGTGGTGTCTATACTCTGTCTTGTACGTATCTGGAGGGAGTAGGGCAAGGAGGAGGAGTTATTTGATTAGAGTGGAACAACTGCCAGTGCCTCTCGGGGTGATTCAGACAGTCTGGAGATAATTGATTTAGATCTACATTCTACTTGGATCCAGAGAAGGAATCCTTTTTACTTGCTTTCCATCCGTTTCTAGTGACAGAATACCTGTTGTGACTCTGAAGAATGATTATGTTCCCAGACTGGCAGACTAACCTCCTTTTGGGTATGAAATGCTCGTAGGAGTTTTAACCCAACCCTTTCTCCCTGTGTAAGCTTGACAAGACGCTGCCCACTTGCACTGGAAGGAGGGAGGAAGGAGACGCCGTTGCCACTGAGACATCCACGCAAGTCACAAAGGTTTTCTTTTTCTCTTAGCATACAAACTACAGATTCCTGAAGTCTCTTCAAAAAGTCCGATTACCCATTAATGCAGTATCGTAAAAGCATGCAAAGCAAAACACTAAATGGACAAGAAGTATATTTATTTTGAAAAGTATAACATTTTGCACAAGTAGGTCACTGCTATATCATGTCTAATGGGGCATTAGTATGCTTGTATCCAATGTGTCTCATTAGATCGGGATTTTGAAGATCGTGGTAAAATGCCTACTAATGTGTGTATTGCTAAAAGGAAAGTGGGGAGCAGAGAAAGGAAAAGAAGTAGAATAACTAGATTTTGTCAATACTTATATGTGATTGCTGCTTACAGCTTCTTAAACCTTTTCAAAAGTTTACTTTCCACTTTTCTCTCCATCTCCAGCAATAAGTGAACTATTCTTTAAATCTCATGTTTCCTCAAACAGGTCATGTTTCCATGTTGAAGTGCAACTGCAATATCCAAAAAGGTGAAAAAGAAATAACATTGGATTGTCATGACATTGGAGCTTACAGCGTGTGAAACTCATATCTAGGCCAGCTCAGATTATAATACTCCAGGATTATTTGCTCTGTGCAAGTGTCCTAGCTCCTCTAGGCTCAGTATCTGTATTTTAAAATGGGAAAGATATTTTTCTATTATTTTTATTATGCATATTCCTGATGAGGGATCATTTTCTATCTTAGTATTAACAATGAACAGTAATGATGATAAAGTTCTGTATTCAAAACTCACATTTACTTTAGTGATAGTTCTGCATGACTAGCACTTGAAGATATCCATTAGCAATTCTTACGTACATTTTTCAGCTTCTATCTGAAAAAAAAAATCTGATTAGAAACTCACCTAATGGAATAAAGTACATTTCCATTTTTGAAAATTCGCAACAACTTATTATCTGTTGTAACTTCATGGAAGTTGGCACCTTTTTCATTAGCAAAGAACAAATCAGGTTTCCAGATTGAATCCAGCATGGATGGATCTAAGTCTAAAGAGTCATCTGGGTATTCACTGTATGCGAGGCGTGGATCATTCCAGTTCTGACGGAGAAAGATGTTCACTCGGTAATCCTGAATGAAAAAGAAAACAAGCAAAGCTTTATCAAGCATAGGGATTTAGCTTTTATTTCATTTCTTAGCCATGTAATCCCCTGTCCATCTGTGGATGACAAAAGAATTACTTAGCTGAATGCCAGCATGATACCTATTTGTATTAGTGGGGACACAATGGATAAGAATAAAGATGCATTTCAGCACAGTTGAAAAAATCCCAAGCTAAGGAAATCCAACCTCTGTGTACAGTTCATATAACTCCATATAACTCTACCCCTACAGTAGTTTTGTCTTGAAATCAAAATGAGAGAAGCATAAAAAGAGTTTTATGGAGTTACCTTTTTCTGCTCAACTCCTGGCAGAGGCATTCCCACTTCCCTCTCAGGCAGTGAGAATTTATCCCACTGGAAGGAAACCTCAATTAATTTCTTTCCTCTCTCTCTAATTCTTACCTATTTTAGACACACCACTTCTTAGACTTTCTGTGCCTCAGTTCCCTATTGAAAATTGTGTGAGCAGTACCTTGCCATAGAGCAGCATGAGAAAGACACATATGTTCCTTCTCTATTCAAATATGGTGGAGATCATGTAACTCCTTATGATACATTAGCTTAGGTACAAGTGGAGTCACCTTAATTCCTTCAGATAGACTTGTCTTAATAGAAGCTGGTTTTATAGGAAAGAGAAATGGAGTGCTTCAAACTTCTGGAAGTCATTTTGGAGTTGTATATACTCTCTGTCAGAGACAATGTTGTATTTATGGCTGCACGCTTCTTAAAACTTTACCACTCTGAAAGGTGAAAATATTTGTTTTTAAATAAAAGTGCATCTTAGCATCTCATTAAATTATATCAAGAACTGAGAGAATTGAGACACTGAACATAAGGACATAGGGACTATATTTTTATTGGTCATAATATGATTTTCCTCATTATTTGCACTACTGCATTAATGAAAGAAGATAAAAACAAAATAGGAACAAAGACATATTGGGTGCAGAGGGGAAATGGGAGCTGGTTGTCAGAGCTTACGTGGCTTCTAAATGTAATAGAAGTAAATAACATCACTTGTTTATTGTTAAAAAAGACAATGAAAATTAATTTTAAAAAGAAAACTTTTTGAGTCAGAACGGGAGATGAAGTGTTCAAGGCTGAGCAATAGAATTTGGCCAATAACTATGGGTATAGTTATTAGCGGTTAGAATAACTAGTTAAAACCCCACTGGTGTAGAAATTGTGGGTACTGTTGAAATTCCAATGTCGTATCAATATTTGGTCTTATGAAACTTGGAACATGTAGCCATACATGTGAGAATCATGCCAACAGACATAATAAAGGACAACAGGAATCTCAATATGCAACATTTACTCATGAGAAATAGTTTTTTATATCTTCAACATCCTGCTATTTTGGTGAATTTAATTACTCAGATTGAATAAGGGTAGCCAAATATGCTAAAAACATGTTTACCAAGCATTTGTTGCTTGAAAATCAGAAAATACTGCATATCATATAGAGAAAGTCCCAGTAGAGGATTTTATATTAATATAACCTTATAAATTTTCAAGACAAAACCAGTAAGTGGAAAACTACACCTGGAGAATGAAATTAATTCAGATTATTGTTTTCAGCAGACATGAAAAAGGCTGTCTGACCAAATGGAAGCATATAACATTAAATGCCAGTTGGAAAAAGCATAGGATTTGTTAATTAATTGCTTTAAAAAAAAAAAAAAAAATTTTTAACCCCCTTTCAGAAAAGGACTGAAAGAAATTTCCCTTCTTTTTCATCACGGCTAGTGACAGCCTCAAGAGCTATAAAAATTTCTTAAGAGAAGCTGTTGGTATTTTTCATAATTAGCACCATGGCGTGATGAAATCAGAGCCAGGGATTTGTACTTTACAGATGTAGAAACAAGCCTTTTTTTTTTTTTCCCCTGAAGTAAGCCAAAACCCTTAGACAAACTTGTGCCTCAGTGTTCATAGCACTGAGCTTTTGGTGATTTCCATGCAGCAAGAAGACATAATACGCCCTGAAATATCCTTATTTCTTTGCATGATATCCCAAATACCATGTAGTACCAGTTCCCCTTCCAAACTCCTGTATAAAATCAAAAGGCCTGGCCTGGAAGAAGCAGGAATTGGGAGCAGTGATGGCTCTTACTGCCTGTCCCAACATGTGGACTTGTTTCACTGAAGGAAACATTAGCCCTAAACCTGGGGCACTGGATGTAAGCACTACAGCTCTCCGGACTTCATCTGCACTTCAGCCAAACCCAAGCTTTACCTTTTTATTTGTATAACCTGAAATATGTCTATTTATTTTACTTTTCTCTGTAGAATATGATGAGTTTATGAATGGGATTACTTATAGAGTAAAGGACTTCTCATATGTATAAGACAGAACAGGTGAAAAATGCATAGCACAAAGTTGAAATGAAAATGGAAAATGGAGGGAGACAAATGGAGGAGTCAGTTCTAGGTTATATTAAGCTATTTTGTATGTCAGTTTGCCTAAAGTTTATTGGTTTAAATTGTTTCCAGCTTTTAAGATAAAAAAAGTCCTAGTTAAATTTTTCATTGAAGCAATTGAAGCTATTTTTCATTGTTCTTTTCCCTGAAAATTCTGCCTTAAATTGGCTCTCATTATTCACTAAAAAAATCCTAATCTATCAAAAGGAAAGAGATATATTTGACTGCTATTGTATGAAGGACAATATTCATCGTCTCAGTTTATAATTACACACTGTGAGCGTAAGGCTTAACTGCTTTAAACAAGTAGGGTTGTTTAATGTAAACACAGAGACCAGAATTAAACTGCCAGAATTGATTTGTTTTCCTACAAAAGGATTACTATTCTCATGTGCTACTTGCCTGGAGGGGTGACTCCTAACTCAAATAACTGTGCTGGGGAGGTTCCTTGAGGGGAGAGAGAAATCATCATTTAAGTTGTGGTGACTTCCACAGCCCCTTCTATAACCTCAAGGCTGCCATCATCTGAACAGCTGCTGTGCCCTGATTCTACAGAATGAGACTGATTTATGGGTCTGCCCTTGCTCCACTGTCCTTCAAAACCCTTAGCCACAGGGCGAACTTTCTTAGAGGGTCATGATACTGTTCATCTGCTTCATAGGGCTCAATAAAACCAAACTTGGGAGATCAGGTAATTGCTTTTTGCTGTCCATGCTGAGGCTGAGGCCATTATAGACTCCAGTACTACCATTTTGAATAGCAATTTCGAGCACACAGTGAAATCTAAAATACTTGCAGCATATGTTGATTTCTCCTTCATTATACTGATACAGATAGAGCTATATTCCTGTAGCATACAGAATATAACTAGAATGCCTTATGGAAACTTTTACACAAATCCCCAAGGTATTAATTGCCTGGCTCTCACTGGTTTCTTTAATGCATTTTTTTTAATAGGCATTGTATGTGGAATCCTTCTAGATCTGAGAGAGAGATGTATAAACCCAAATTTCTGAAATATGCCTTTCATTTGAACAGTGCTTATCACCTGCTCTCATAATTTTTGAATGCTGTCATTTGAACCAAATCATCAAATTTTCATGCATAGATGAATAATCTTCCAGAGCTCTACCTACTGCAGTTCCAAATACTACTATAATTTTGACTAATATATCCATCTAAGTGAAATCTAGATTTGTCTTTTGCATAACGTAGTTAAATGATTCTTGCTTTATTTGTTCTAGCTCACTGTAGAATTTTAACATGGAATTCTTATGGCCTTTCCAAGAACACTGCTGATAGTAAATTTGAAGGCACTATGAGAAATATTGTTCTTGTGAAGAGTTTTGTTTTATACCGATAACTATGGCAATTTTTTCTTCATGTCCATTAAAGATCTGTATTGAAAAATACTAAAGTTTCTGGTGAAGTCATAAAAAATAGCATAGAAAGCAGATGCATTTACTAAAGTCTAAAATATAAAGATTTGTTCATTAAGTTTCCACCAAATCACAGGAAAAATGTAAAGACTTGTTTGAACGCATTTTTACTAATTTTAGTAACTACGTGTATTGCAAGTGCTTGAAAATCAACCAAGAGCCAGGCCCCATATTTGTACATTATATGCATGCACAGACTGATAGTCCCCCAATGGTTAGATTTCTCCTTTTCCAGTTTTCTACAGCTGTTGCTATCAACTCCATTGGACATAATGCTGGAAAAGCTTATTGTAGACAATGGCACGGACTGGAATTTACTTTGTTATAATGAAAGCTGAATATGATCCTCTGTACCTAAGAAGTTATCACAGACATACCAGGTAGACCTGCTCACGTGAAGGCTGAAGTGAGGAATGAAAATTAGCAGGGTGACCTGGAGTAAAAGGAAGGCAGAACTACAGGGAACTACTAGAGGCATGGGGGAACGGAATAATTTAAATGATTTCAGTAGATGTTACAAGAGAGAAATATGTATCAGGAAGAATAAGACCCAAGGGAATCCTGGCCTAAAAAAGTAACCAATGTCTTGAAGACCCACTTCAAATTAAGTATAATTTTGTAACTATAGCTATTTGTTTTATTAAATTTGTTTATCACCACATAGGGAATGAGAGTATTTGGTCATAGAGTTATGTGTGTGTTATCATTCCTCTAGCTCTATCCACATGTCCCCCCTCGCAAAAAAAAAAAAAAGGTTATCAGGTGCTGAGTTATCAGGTGTTTGGGTGCTAGTGGAATAGTATTAGTAGTTTCATATTTCAGCATACCATCCTTGGTACACCAACCTGAAAAGGCATGCTGTAGAGCATATGTCACTTCATTTTCCATTTGGTTTCTTGGGTTAATGAAAAATATCTTTGGCCTTTATTCTACAAAATACTATGTTTGCCTTATGCATTTTATCTTCAAAATACTTTGACTTCTTAATCGTGATATAATTTGTTAAATAGGTTGCTTGCAACAGGCTAATTAGAAGCCCTTAGCAATTTTACCTTTTATTATTTCAATTTTTATGTAATACTGTGGAAAATAAAAGTTAGACTTAACT